AGCAGTTCCTGGTATTTACCACTTTTAAACAACTGTCTTATACATTAAAAACCACTGCTGAGTTGCCACTTGTAAGCAAAACAAAAGAAAGAAAAAATTTCAACATTTTTGTTTAAATCCTACTCATCCAGACAGAGAATGGAGAAGATAATAAGAGGATGTGAATAGGTGGACTAAACAGTTATAAAAATACTAGTTAAAAAAAAGAAGCGACTAGGCAATGAACAGCTGTGAGGAAAACAGATGATCTTCTGCATTGTCTACCCCTTCATTTTTTCTGCTTAGAGCTTATTTAAAGCATGGTATTCAAACGGAACCGAACAGGATATCCAAATTCTTCACTTGGTACTGATATCTTTCTGCTAACCTGTCTCATTATTATTACTGCTACCACACCAACAACTTCCGCAGCCAAAGTTTTGTCTAATGGTTTAGAACTCCTAAGAATAAACGGTTCAAATAAATCACAGAATCATTTGCAAAAATTTCTTGTTATCGCATCGAAACGATGTTAGCTGAAAGTTACCAATGACAAAAATCAATAACTAAGTCATGCCTATTCCGTTCCTTGTAGAAGTCTACAGCTCAGTCAAGTAATAACCGTTTGTTTTCAAAAGCATATTATTGCACTACTATTCTCAAAGCTGCAGAGAAAACGAAAAAGCAGAAAAACGAAATGCATCCTCTAGAATAGAGTGATTTTGTAGTGCGACTGCGATATCTTCAGAAGTCAGCAGAGAGGTCTTAACTGGTGCAAAACTTTATAGTGTATTTAAATCTTTTACTAAAGTTTTTTAGTGAAAAAAGATCCTAATACTTCAATCCGATGCAATCGTAAATAAAAACAAAATGTTTGCTGTATTTTCAAAAAAAGCTGAAGAATTTTACTGCACAGTTGAGGACTAACCGTACGCAGGACAAACTTGCATAGTGGGATAAAGTTTTGTTATCCTGTCAAATTCGCAGTTGTTTTCATATGACCATCCAAAAAGCTGCTACCTGTTAAAAGTGCTGAAGTTTTTTAAATAGTAAAAAAGTGTAGATTCAAAGACTGTATACCGCCTTCTTTTTTTTTGTTGGTTAAATTTAACAGCAAAAAATAAAATGGAGGAGTAACTGTAGATAAATTTTTTTTAACGTCAAAAGTAATTATTTTTTCTCTTTCTTTTATAAACTACTGGCAAGAAAGTAGAGCAGTGAACATAGACAGAAAAGAAACGAGAATGGTTTAAATCCATTAGTTAAATGTACAACCTTTATTTAAAAAAAAAAAATGATTTGCTTTCAGTTTACCGTTCACTTTTTTTTTTCTGGAAAAGTGTGACATTTCAGTCGTTGAAAGTTATGAAAGCATAAAAATTTTAGATTGCTAAAATTTATAGATATTATTGCTGAGAAATATACAGTGTTAACAGGAATGAAAATATTACTAACAAATGTATCAAAACAATACATTAGCAACTTTTTGACGGTGTTGACTTTAGAAGGTTATTGTTCACAGGATTAAAGCAAGCAGACAGGCATAAACAAATTTTTTAAGATTTTTCAAGTGTCAACTTGGTGCTACAAAAATCAACTGACAGCTAATTATCAACAATTAACCAAAAAACAAAAACATCGTTTATAACAAAGTTTACCGAATTAAAAATAATTTTTTTTGTAAGTTTGCAAGGAATAATTTTTTTTCGTTCTTTGAAACATTTGTAGTCTTCTCTTTTCTTCAGATATAATCTGATTCTTCTTTTATCTTCTACTTTCAGCCAAGAAAAGAGGAATATCTTCCTTAAAACTGTCTCCTAATTTTCAACAAAAAAAAAAAGCGCATTTTTTTTTTTGTTTTACTTCTTTTTACTGCTACAAAAGAAATTTGTTTTTAAGCTGTTATTTTGCTGTTTTGAACACTTCCTTTTATTTTAAACGAATTTCCTACTGCAGTAAGAATGTTCTTTGTTGTTGTTGCTTTCACCACAAAAAAAGCTGTTTTCGAAAAAATGTGTTTTCGGCACTTTTTCGATAAGTTTCAGTAAAAACGAAGTTTTAAGTTTTTTTCTGAAAAAAGGTTTCCTTTTGTACTCTAATTATACATAAAAAAGCGGAGAAATTTTAGAGGAAAGAAGATAAGTGGAACTGTGGTTATCGACGTCAATTGAACGATAAACAAAAAAAAAAAAACAGGTCAAGAAGTAGGTAAAACAATGTGAATACATATACCGTATATAAAGATAAATTATTATATATCGGCACATTAAAAAAATTGAGTATAAGAACAAATAAAATATGGTTTCTGATAAGATAAAGCTAACAAATCAACAAGTAGCCGACTGAACTAACCTCATCGTAGCTTTGAAATTTTTTATTTTTTTCTCTTTTTTTTTT